AGAGAGAGAGAGAGAGAGTGAATATATAAAGGGAGGCAGCTTGTTTACAGGTGGGCCTGTAAAAGGTTAAAAAGAGAGAGTGATTTCCTTTCATTTAAACAGCAATAGATTGATTGATTGTGTGCCTGTGTGGGTGTTTGTGTGAGGACTGTAGATTCCCCTGAGTCATACTGACAGGTGGTGGATATATACACACACATAGAGAGCAACGCACTAACGGATGCTGTGGTATAATCTCAGATTCTTTCCTATGCTATGGATCCCAGTGGCTGTGTCATGCCGTCACGGGCTAAAAACAGATTCTTAGTCAAAATACAGACACTCAAACTACTGTTTTGTGAATCCCTGCTTTGTGTTCGGTATCCTGTTTCTTTACGAGACAGCAAACACAGAGGATCTGACTATCTAGGCCCGTGTTTGTGTGTGTGTGTTCGAGTGTGTGTGAAGGCTGTTTGACAGTTTGGGAACAGTTGCTAAAAAAGTTGGGGGAAGGGGAAAAAAAGTCACAGTTTTCCAAAGCCTTTGATTCTTTTTCTGTCCATTTCTAGTTTCTTAGTAACCATCCAAGATCGCAGCCGTTGGGGCCATCACTGGGCCGTGATCCAGTGTGTGTGTGTGTGCAGGGTGGGGGCTGGGTTATGTATATGAGGATTAGCTCTGGATGGTCGTGTTTGTATGGAGCTCCAGCATGTGTGAATGTGTTTGTGTGAACTGGTATCAGAGATGGGAGTGTTGTTGGGTATTGGCACCGACAGCTTTGTTCCTTCGTGTGCTGTTTTTCATTAGAGTGCGGACGTTTTGATGTGTGTTCAAGTGGCTGGGAACGGGTACACACACACACACACACACACACACACACACAACCACACACACACACAACCACACACACTCTCACTCTCCCTGTCTCTCCCTTCGTTTTAGTCTCCACAGTTTGGAAATAAATTTGGGCTGGGTGTCTAGGCAGCTGACACAGCAGACCAAAAGACTTTGTGTGTGTGTGTGTGTGTGTGTGTGTGTCCTTATTGAGGGGCAAAGGATGCAGGTGGCCTTGTAGGACTTGACTTCCTCTCCTCTCCCTTCCTCTGACTTCCTTTAAAATAGAAGCAGCTCGTTTATTTTCAGCTGCTTAGAGCTCTTATCTATTGTTTTTGTGTCACTTTAGGAAAACAGAAGATTGATATTGGAAAGCCGTCGCTCATTTGTTAGAATGACTTTTACACACAACCAGTGCCTTCGTTGTTATATTACGTAATTTAGTGGCTGTTTGTAGCAGTTATATGTAGTTATTTAGACTGATCAACATTTCCAATGGCTCTCTGTTCTCAGAGACAGTGGACTGCTGTTTGAGAATATAGCTTCAAACCAGGCAATGTGATTAGCTTTTACCACATGCTTTAAATCACTTCATGGGAATAATTAATTTAGTTTTATAGATTATATTTTTCAGTTTCGGCTCATTCTCAAATTCAAACTGGATCTTTAGTTCCAGACTACTTGAGACAACTTCCCAAAGCACTCAAGCTCTGACCTCTCTGTCACCCTCTCTTAGTACGTTTCTGTCTCTCTTTCTTTTCGTTTTTGTGAATGGGGGTTTTGTTAAGATCTTCTTCTCTTTTTCTCTCCACAGTTCCGACTCTGAAGGGACCTTCGAGACTCCAGAAGCAGAGTCTCCAGGTGTTGTGAAGCTACTGAGCCAACTGGACAACTCCAACCACACAGGTGAGATGGCTGCTCTTATACTGGTCACACCTGATTGGTGACATTAGCTATTCTCAGGTAGATCTGGGTATCAGCTCCTGATCAGATCATTCCTGTATAATAAAACATATATAGAGATATATAGACTATATAAATATAGTATGTATTTTATTTAGGGAAAGTATTTGTTATGGCTGCTTGTGTTTAGACATTAACGAACTGATCATCAGGCTGAAAAGGCACAACAGGTGTTTGGGTGTGGTCAAAAGTGTGCTTTGTTGCATCCGTAATCAAACCCAACAGTGAAGTCACAGTGTCCTGGAGTACACCTGTACATCACAGCAGCCAATTCTTTTTTTATTGGTACCGACACAGGTAGGCAAAAATGTAGGGTCCCCGGTTAGCTCAGTTGGTAGAGCGACCCATGTACTGAGGCTGAGTCCTTGCTGCAGCGGCCCAGGCCCTTTCTCTCTGCCCCCCTTTCCTGTCTACCTTCAGCTGTCACTGTCAATAAAAAAAGGCAATAAAAGATAAAAATACTTTAAAAAAATAAAAAATTGCAAAAATGTAAAAAAAACAACGACACCCAGTCGGACAATTTGCGTAGGTATGAAAATGGCCACTGTGATAAGTCTCATAAAATGTTCCAGATCAGGACTGAGAGTGAGATCAGCTACACACATAGAACAACTCATTTTCTCACTATTTGTATTTATACAAGATAAATGGCTGTTTTTAACTAGTTGTTGTCATTAGTACTTTAGATCAGTACTTTTTTGCCCATGGACACCATTACTTCTTGTACAAATGTAAAGATCATCAAAAGGTTGGAGGTGCAAGAAAGCTTGAACTCCATTTGTGCTGTAAAGTGATACATCATATTTTGGGTTGCTAATTACAAACAAAATATTTTCTCACTTAACTTGTTTTTTGTAATTTGGGTGAACTGAGACTTTAATTGAAGCATAATACTTACACTAATGTAATTTCGACCACAGTGCCAACTTGCCTGCTTTTGATGCTCACACAGATCTTGGATCAGCTTACTGTCGAGTTATTAGTAATGTAAGCGAGCTCTCTCCTGTTAGGCACAGACTCGTAAATCGCCTGATAAATAGGTTGTAGATGAATCCAGCCTGTTTGAAGCTGCCAAAGAGACCCACTTCTGTCCAATCCACAGCTCTTCCTCACCTCTCCACTCCCACTGTCCTGCTATCACCCACACAGACATGAGTACTATACATTTCCATCTATTATTACCATGGTAATAGATCATCTGCAGGACATCTTCTATGCAGAAACAAATGCCATCATATCACTGATGCTTGCAAACTCAGTTTTTTCCAGCTCCATCTGCTTTCATCACAATAATTGACTTTGACATGTACTTTACATGTATTAGGATAAAATTGGTCTGCATGTTTTGGATGGCTTGGCTAGTTGGAATTAGACGCATTTAGACCAAAGCACATGGGACGCTGTGCCAGAGATAATGACAGAGAGATTAATCTGTTTGTTATTGAATTCAGACAATACGAGTCTCCTTTTAATGCTAAAACAGTCACACGCTCTGTTCAAAATCTGGGTTAGTTCCATAAATAAAAGATCAACTGTGTGGAGAAATTGATATTCTGGTTCACTATAATTACACTAAAATGGCTCAGGGGGGAATCGCTGTCTGTTCATAGGAACAACCACAGGCCACATCTGACTGTATGTACTGCTGAACCACAACGTAGCTGAAACCTTAGACAGCTATTTGTCTACCTGTATACTATCTGTTTCTCTCTCACTGGCTTTCTCTCCCACTTCCCTCCCTGTCTTTTTTTCCTCTTTTTCGCTGAGTTGTGAAACTGTAATGAAGCCTGATGTTGTTTTTGTTGCTAGGCCACGTGGTGGTGTGTACTCTGCATGACTGGGTGTGGTTCTTCTACATCTGTTCCCTGTCTCCGAAGGGTGTGTTTTGCTTGGAAGTACCCAGATTTGAGCAGAAGCTTACATAAACTTGCATTAATTGACAGTGTGATGCAGTAAGTCACACATTAGTCATGACAAACAATGTGAAAAGCTGTTAGCAACCAAGGTGAAACCACATTGACTTCACTCATGTTGTGTGGATGTTCAAAGGAAATGCACAAGAATACAGGAGAGGTTATTTCAGTTTTATTCTTCTGTGTAGTTGTGTGAGTTTTACAGTGTGTGTGGGTGTATTTTTCAGTAACAGAGAGTCCTGTGTTTCAGCAGCAGTGTGACTCAACAGAGGCCAGCATGCTGCTGTGGTCGTTAGCTAGCTGTTAACGGGATGTGTGAGGAAGTGCTCTGAGAGGAAGCCAGCAGCCATTTTAAATGTTCTAAGAGGAGAAGGAGAAGCCATCACTTTAACTTTAAATCCCTGAATCACATATACTGTCTTTAAGTAGCCAGAGGATGGGGATGTTAGGTTTTACTATTGGAGGAAAGATTAAGATCTGTTTAGCTCTCGTGGTTCTTATTCTACCTTTCTGCTAACTCTTCGTCCTCATTTGAAATAACAGAGTTTGCAATCATCAGATTGTATTGTGGCATGCCCCAAGGTTCTCTCCTTGGCCCTATATTTCTATTTGTCCAGATAATAAGTAATTGTATGGTATCTCCTATCAGTGCTATGCAGATGATATTCAGTTATGCAGTTTGTTTAACCCTCCTGTCATCTCAAAGTGGCTATAACTGATATTTTTATATTAACAAATGTCAAAGTAAAAACAGTGTGTCAGTGGAAAAGTGGTCGCTCGTGGTGATCAACCTACAGAAAAGTGTCACCCTAAACTGCAGCCCCTCTCAGAGCTTTATAGTTTTAGCTCATTGTTTAGCTGTCCGGACACAACTTTACTTTTTTATTAACTTTCACTGCTCTTATAGCATCGCTTTCTGCTGCAGGAAGCACATCAGTGAAAAGCTCAAAAACTCACTGTACCCTTTCAGCACCATAAACAACAGACATACACAGTCCATAACTGCTGGATGTATAAATAAGCAACCATTTGCTAACAAGTTTATTGCAATTACTTCATGCTCCTCTTGAAAGTTTCAATGTAAACTTAGTTACATACTTTTCTTCCCTTTTCACAGTTCTTCCTGATGTTACAAACCTTGTTCTGGACAAGAACTTCAACCAGGACATGAGCCCAGTTCCATCCCAAGAGGTCAATTCCCTGAACAACCTCACCCGCTCCTCAGCTAACGACAACAGCTTTGGTTTGGACCAGAACCTCAACCTGACCCTCGGTAACAAACCCAGTCCTGGCTTCCTCCCCCAGCCTCAAGCCCTCCGTCCCCCATCACTGTCCGTCCTCTCCCCGCTAAACAAACCAGATCCTTCTGAAGTGGACGACGAGGCTCCGGTGACGTCTGACTCCAGCCCGGACTCAAATTTGATCCCCAGTCATGACATTTGCGTGGATCCTGACTTGCTTAATGGCAACGTGAACTCTGACGCTGTGCAATCAAACACAAAACTAACCTGTGAGACCAACAGCACAATTATCACGTGAGTAAAGCATTCGAAAACAAACACAAACACAAAGGCCATTCCTCTTCAGTCATCAGTGAGTGGCTGAACTAATGTGACTCACAGATTTTCAAGCTGAACAAACGCTGCTCTCTCTTTTATGGCTGTAGGGAACATTAGTGAATGCTTGCCATTGTGCACAATGAACCTGAAGTGATCAAAGTGTTCCCGTTTTAATCAACTGTGGTGGCCTCTTTTGTTTGTTGTTTCTCTCCTGCACTTCCATTCATTGCTCACCAGTGTTATTATAGTTTTTAATGTTTTTCTTATTGTTTTCAGTTCATTTTAATTCATGTTTTTAGATCATTTTATTTTAGAATTTCAGCTCGCCTTTATTTTTTACTTCATCATTTGTGTATAATTACTCCACAGGTCGTAATTTAGGGCAGTTTTTCAGTCTTCATAGCTATATAAATAGCAAGTATTTTTAACGACTATCTTGTGGCTATGCTGACAGAAAATGTTCTTTGAATGATAAAGAGAACTTAAAGTGTCAAACAATGCCCTCTTGTGGTGTTTTTCAGAAGTGTTCATGCTAAAGCAGAATCATGACTCAGCTCTCTATTATCTCTCTATTATTAAGTTTAAAAAAGCACGAGCATAATTGTAATCCACCAGCTTTTTGTGATATATACTAGAATGAACTACCAGCCATAACTCCTGTTGTTGGAACAATTATTGCTGTTCGGCAAGATCAGTTTTGTGCACAAAGATAAGATATTAGTATTTTTTATTGATATTTTCAAACTAAATAAGAAGTTTGACATTGGCAACACTATACAGGAATATGGTCTATGAATTACATATGTAATGGGTTACATCTCGTAGGTCAATATACTGTGTATAACGTCAGTTTCTTCCTTTATTTTACACATTGTCCATATCACAGCCTTTAAGATAAAGGTCAGATTCTCTATACGGTTTATTTTATTGACAGTTGCAGTCCTGTCGTCTTTTCTTTGGCCTGCAGTCATTTCCATGTGATGTTTTTCTTGCTTAGCAACCAGAAGTATTTTGGTTATTTATCCTGAGCTGTAAGTGTGTCCAGGACTTTTTTCCAGATAATTAACAAAAAAGCCATTCAAATATTTCCATTACCTCTTTATAATTGTCTAGCCTATAAAACAATATTATAGGACAAGCACAGAAAAGACTGCCATTTTAAAAGTCTTAAAATGTGTGGTAAAAAAAAACTGCCAAGTGGTTTAGATTAAGATTTTAATATCACTTTAGTTTCAAGATTTAACTCTCCAGTTTAACCAAACACTCTGTCTACTTTCAGTCTTGTTTTTTTATTTATTAAACTATAATAACCCTGCACTCACCTTGTGTTTATCCTAACCCCTGTCCCATCCTCTCCTGTGTCTTTCCTTCCTTTTCCTTCCAAACCTGTCATTCTGTTTCCCTTCTCTCTGTGTGGCATCAGGACTGCTGAGCAAGTCCATTTCCTCTGTGTTCTGTTGTAAGTACTGTATAATCGTGTGTGCAGACGTGTGTGTGTTTTTAACGTCAGTCCTTGCTGTTCAAGTCCAGGCTCACGCCATAGTCATTCAGCTGACCTAAACTTTCCTTCGTACACAAAGTGAAGGTGAAAAACAAGTGAACTAGATTTAGAAAGTAGAGGACAGAGTGTTAGTGGAAACACTGTAATTCCCTCTAATGCTCCGTGCAACTGTTGCTCTTATTTTAATTTGGCAACAATCTATTTCATTAATCTGCATTTTCTGCTGCGTAATTCAGCACTTTTAGCAGAGCATGCAAACTCAGAGGCACACACAGAGCAGAGCCACGAGGTCTGGCTGTAAGGCTTTCTGTCTCTCCTGATTTCTCTCCTCATCATTACACCTGCCCACATGTACACACATAGAGAGATATTAATCTGGTTAACGCTGACACTGATGTTGTTATTGACCTTCATTCTCAGGAACTCGTGTAAAGTGAAGCAGAACCAGCCAATGCAGAAGGACTTCAGCGGGCAGGTAAGGATTGATAATTGTGTCTAATGATCATCTCACTCATGTGGTAGTTTTAGCTCTTGACAGGTTTCATGCAGTCAATGTGGTTGATTCTGGTTGCTGCTGTTAAAGGATGACCATCATGGTGACCACGCCACAGATGAGGAGAAGTTGGCGAGCAGTGTCGGTGTCAAACCAGACAAGGACGAAAGCAGTGAGTAAAAGGATCAATGACTATTGATTTTAATGTTTTGCTCATGTGTGCATGTCAGATAGCCACCCAATTGTGAATGGCTCAGTTACTTCCCAGCTCAGAGAGGGACTCTACTGTACAGAGATCAGATAACTGGATGTTAATGGTTACACTCTATCAATACCAGACAGCAAGGTTATCTTTGTCTTACAAGCACAACATTAATTATTAACTTTACACATTATTTTACACTGCATTGAAACTTGTGACTGTGTGGGTCATGAGCACCACAGAGCAGCACAACAGTATAGTGTGTTTGTGCCTGTTGGAGGAGAGCTGTTTTAGTCTTATAAATATTTAGATTATATGATCACACTGGTGCCTTCAGACTGAATGTGACACAGCTTTTGTGACTGGTCTGATCCTAGTAGCCTCGCTATTAAAAATGTTGCATAACAGCACATCATTGCATCAGTAGTCGGTGTTACTGTTATTTATTGTTTATTGTTGTAATGTGAGTTTATTTTTTGATTTAAAGGTCCAGTGTGTTGGATTTAGTGGCATCTAGCAGTGTAGATGCAGATTGCAACTCACTTGCTTCACCCTCCCTTTCCAAACGCGAGAGAGAAACTACAGTAGCTGTGAAACACAAAAAACACAAACGGCCTTATCTAGAGCCACTTTTTGGTTTGTCCATTCTGGGCTACTGTAGAAACGTGGCAGACTTTATGGAAGGAAGCATCTGTAGATAAAAACAGCTCATTCTAATGCAACAAAAACACAACAGTTGTTATATTCAGGTGATTATATACTAATTAAAACATTAGTTTATTCCCTTTCTGCCAATAGATGCTCCTAAATGTTACACACTGGACCTTTTAAGTAAAACATATAACTACATATTAATTTTTTTTATATTGCATAAGTCGTGACAATACTTATTTTTTATGTCTATTTACGGGTATTTTAGTTAACAAACATTAAGCACTCTTTACAAATTATATAAAATATTACAAAAACAGTACAGAATTTACATACATAGACACACATACTTCCCATCTCATCCATTTCACAGCTTAATACAAGGTTTTAATTATTTTATCACTGAATATGAGCACATGTGGGTATAATACAATAATATTTATTATGAGAAATAGAACCAGATTACATTATAGGCCACAGCATCTTTGATCTTAACTTCATTTTAACATGTGTCTCACTTTCTTCCAGTTCAAGACTGCAATGTGACATCAAAACCTGAAGACTCAGACTGCTGCTCTGTGGTAAGTAAATATCACAATAAATCATTAATGTTATTTTCCCCTACATATACAGCCCCATATACAGTCTATTTATTCATCATTGTGGACAACCTATCACAGCAACTTCACCAGTGACCACTAGGTGGGGATAAAGCACTCTTTCATTAGTTAAATTTACCATCAGTTGCTAACAAGAACACAAGTCCAGACATGTTCAAACATTACATTGTGTTCAGATCTGAATCAGTGACATTTACGCAGCATATGATGCAAATTGTAAAGTGTGATTTAAAGATGTACACTAATAGGCAGCCTAGTGTTGTGTTTAGAGCTACCTGCATTGTATCTAAAGCTGCAGTATGATCGGCTGATATGATGACTGCACTGTGCTGTAGGACAGCAGGAGGTACTTAGTGTCTGCCACTGTGTTCATGTACTCAGGTGACAGATGGATTCAGATTTATCATTCAGGAGATTAGAATATGATATCATAATCCAGGGAAGGACAAAATGAGAGAGGAGAGAGACAGGGGAGGAGAAGAAGCAGCATTGAGATGTGTAAGAACATCGATTGAAATACAAGAGGGGTATGGGGTTAAAAAATGAGAACGAGAGAAGACTAGAGAACAGAAGAAGGAGAGAGCTGGCATACAGAGAGAGAAATATGATGTGTTCAGTATAAACCTTTTTGTCTCTTTCTCTCACTAATTGGTATACTGACTAACTGCTGATGTAACATATTGCTGGGTGCAAGCATTGGCTTTTCTAAACACCTACAGTATAATGGGCTTCCCAGAGAAAAAACAAGACAATTTCCTGCACAGAAAAGTATTCATTTTATACTTGCACTACTAGAAACAGTAGTAAAGTTTGCATAAGAAATTGTTTGGGGTATAAGAAGGTAGAATTTAATGTTTTTATGGCAGTATTGTGATTGCTACTTGCCAAAATAAAGACTATGAGTTTCTCTATTATAAAGTTTAGGTGGGCTTACACCCCATTATACTACTGGATGTACGATGAAAGATGAAAGTTGACATAAGTGATTTCCTTCTGCCCTCAGCAGTATGAGGATCCATGCATGCTGAAGAAGAAGTCGGGAGGAAGTGAAATGGAGAAAACAGGAAGTCAGGTCCTGGATTCCATCTGCATCAGCGAGGCAGAAAAACAGGCCGTTCTCACCCTCATTAGAGAGGAGGTACACGCTTTTATCTCACTCATCTCATGAATCAACATTAAATATGTCATCTGTGCTTTGTAAGTTGATTGTGTATATGTTTGACATGATTGAGCTCACAGTAGACGTCTCTTTTCTAGATCATCACTAAAGAGTTGGAAGCCAATGACTGGAAGAAAAAGTACGAGAGCAGCAAACAAGAAGTGGCTGAGATGAGGTTAGAAAGCATGTCACTGCTTCAATGATGGACTTCGAGGGTGGTCATGTAAGGTTATGATGAGGTGAAACAGACAGAGAGGGATCTTTGTTCTGTGCAAGAGGTTACTTGCGTCACATTTTTGTATGCAAAAAAGTCT